CAAATTGATTTTTCAGTTTTTCGCTCCTCGCGAATGCTCTAGGGCATTAAAATATTTTCTTGCTGCATGATTTTGGAATTCTGCTTCAAAACGTTTGTTTAGAAACATTCATTTCAGTATACTTATAAAACACATTTTGAATTTAGTCATGGTACAGTAACCCCTTTAAAAATCTGAGTATCAAACGCTTATTTCTTAACAATTTCGCTTTATATAAAATGGCTGTTTTGTTTATGACAATTATACCATTTTAAATTTCCACTAGTGTGAGAATAAACTACTTATTTCGTTCAAAAGTGACCTAATACGAACATCTAAAACTTGCACTGCTTAATTGAAGGAAATGAAAAGGCTTATTGGTTGGCAAAACAATCTACAAACCTTCAAGTTAATATCCCAAAGGCACTTCCTAAGTCATTCTTCAAGCAATAAAGTTGGAATGAAATAAATCTCCACTGGAATGAATTATATAGAGATTCATCCACTGCCTCTTTGACTGAATTAGTTTTTCCTTCTAGTTCGAACTGAATAATAAACATTTTTTCTACAATTTTGAAATTATTAAATTTGTAACTGAGCATTGTAATTTTAATTGATGTCTGAACGAAATTTGGGCTATTTAATACAGGCATGTGTTTCTCAAGCTTCAAGGCAGTGCAAAATCGCAAGTATAATTTATTCTACTGTTCAAAGGTTACGAAAAGAAGAGCAAAATTCAGGTCTCAGTTAAACTGTATGAATATGTATGTCTTTTGTGCAAGGTATACGTATAAGCCTGTTTTATATATAAGCTACAGGTTTACTAGAACTCTACTTTTATCCTTTATTTTTCAATTTATTTTACTTTTATTCTTTATATGTGTGTATATTTTTAAGCTAAAATATGTAAAAGATAAATTATAGTTAACAATAGCCTCTTAATGCTTAATTTCCAGCTCTCTTTTAGGAAAATAGTAATATTCTTCTGCACTACGTCATTCCGGGATTAATCCATGCCATATGACGATTGCATAACACTGATGTAAATAGAACTAAAATTTAAACAGCCAAGTTAATAATAACTTTACAGCAGTATTAAATTTTCCAATCAAAATTCATTGAAATCTAAAAATGAAGATTTCTTTCTTAACAAAAGGCACTTGCTTCCTACATCTCGGCTAAATTTGTATCTATTAAAAGTGTAAAAATATTGAAATAGCCCAAGTAGTGTACCAAGGTTGTTTGTGAACGCAACATGTTGACTGAAACAAAAATGAAGATTTAATCTGCTTCGGCTGCAGCTTGCTGTTCAGTACGGATTCAACACTCTACATTCACATTCTACATTCTATGCTTATCTACGTTTCTACGCCATCGATATTTCAAAGTTCTTTATAGAAAGAGAGAGAAAATACTAACTACATGCTTAGATTTTTGTTATTAATTTTTCTTATCACTTATACCTGGTTAACTGCACGTTCTAGCATAGATTTGCATCATTCATTAACTAGGTTAAATTTGTTCCTTCTTACATATTATTGTGTATGCAACATATTATTGTGTATTATTGTATATTCAAACATATCGCAGGGAATTCATATACAGTAACTGGATTTGAAATGCAAAAAAAAATTGTTATCTCCTAATCTTGGAAGTAACATCAGTCGAAAATCACATATATCTGCTCTAAAACTCTTGATAATCCTTGAAGCACTGATAGAATCCTTCTTTGGATATCTTACATAGATTTGCTATCCAGTCGTTTTGGGTAGTTTGGATTATCTAAAAACGTTCACATCGTGTACCCGCGTTAATATGAGGATAAGTAGAATCATAAAATTAAACAAAATCTGGTAAGTACGATTACCTTTTTAAGGAATCGATTTCTGATCGAACAAGCTCATTTTTTTGCTCAAATTGCATGGTCGAAAGCCGTTTCAATTTCGTTTGCAATATATGACGAATAGTGATTTCTCGGATTCTGCTGCTTTACGAATTTCTTCCACAGAGCTTATGCTAATACTTTTTAAAAGCAAACTTCATTCATTGTACGTTGCACGCACGTGATACGACTCTTCCTTGAATGTCTTGACCAAAGGAATGGATGATTAAATAAGAGATAACTAGAACATTGTCAATATATGTTTTCATAATGTTTTTGAAATACGAATATTTATATTTTTCGTAAACATATATATATATATATATATATATATATATAGTTAGATATGTTCATTTAGAAACATATATATAAGTTTTTCTAAATGCTTAATATATATATATATATATATGTTTTCTAAATGCTAATATATGTGTAGTAAGTATTTAGAAAACACATATCTTAATAAAAAGACATATTATTAATTAAATACAGTAATGTTTTATATTTGAAACAATATTGTCCATATTTTTAAAAATGTAAGGTGTTTCTTAAAGGCTGTAGTTTTTTAATTATGCGACATAGTTTTATTTGAAGATTATTAGCACTTCTTTTCGTTATATACTATAATTTCGCTTAACAGCGCATTTGTCGTTTTTGTAGATGTCATGGAGCGGTTTTTTGAGAAATAACGCATCCTGGATATAAAAAAATCATTGAAAAATAAGAGAAAGATGCAGAGATGGTTTAGTGCTGTTTATAGGGATAGCAGTGCCCGTATGAAACATATGAGTGATACGCAAGTATTTGTTTTTAGTGAGACAGGACGACCTGCTGCGGATAATGTAACACAGTTAACTTGCTTCATGAGAAATGAGATGGGTGTGTGATATTCCTTCGAGGTGGAGATCAGGAATAGTCTAGAAAGCTTTGTGACTTCGCACCTTGTGAGGTCTATTTATGAAGTTATGCAAAGTTGAACATTACGTGAAGAAAGCTCAAACAAAAGAAAGTAAATCGATGGATCAGTGGCGAATTCACCAGAGACGTCTTTGAAAGGCTCATCTTGGATAACATCGGCAAAATAACCGGCAGCTGAAAAACTAACAATTGACATATAGTATGCGTCATTCTTCATTACTGAACTAGTGTGTGTATAGAAGAGAAAACCGAAGTTTAGATTTTATGCACTTTTAAGTGCTTTACTATATTCTAAACATTTGCGCAATTTATGGAACGTCTAATAACTGAGTCCATCATAAGATATTTTTAAATGCATTAGTATGAATTCTCATTCATAATAGAAATATTACAATAACGTTTATTCTTATTATTTCAAAAGGGTGTTGGTTACACACTTTAAACGTACTACAGTATTTAATGGTTTACTGAAATCAATGCTAAAGTATAAAGAAAAAAACGATTTAACATTTAAATTAAAAATTCTCATCAAAACGTTTCTCATTTACAGAAAATAAATGCAGCTTTCTCACAGATACGCAATATATACAGTATCACACAAAATAATCACATTTTATTAAAAAATACGGCTATGTTTAGGGACTTGAGAAAAAACTAATACACATGGCAATAACTTTCTAAACGATGTTTCATTTGGAGCTAAAGCTGTGCTTCAAAGATATATAATTATATATATATATATATCTAATTATATCTTTGAAGATATATATTATATAAATATATAATTATATATATATATATATATATATATATATTATATATTTATTCAATTTATTCTTTTGAAAATATATATATATAATTATATATATACACATACTACTTGAATACTTAATGACTCGCAATGAGCGTACAGTGCATAGAAAATAAAATCATTATTATTTATCTGGACACTACAGTACATTCCAAAAATGTAGATTTCAAAAATTCATTTTTAAAGACCTAATCTCATATACTAATTTCTATAAAAACGCCTGCTTCCACAAATGACACACATGTGCATTAATGTAGATCATTGACCAAGTACATTTTTTTTTAAAGTCGATAATTTATTTTACTTAGATCAAAGAGCTTTTTTTACACCCGCTTATACGTATGAAAATCTAAAATAGAAGTACATGTACCAATTGAGATAAAAAAATTGATAAAACGTGAAATGTAAATTTTACGTTTCAAATCTCAATTTTAATTTAATGAAATCCTAACTGATAAAAATCATACGAATATGTAGCTATTTCTAATGCGTTTCAAGTTTAGAAAAACACATTTTTTAATCTCCTATTTTGCTTACGTGTTAAAATGAGACATGTAGAACATCCTACACGAACGAAAGAATAATAATTCAGCTGAAATTGTTTCTATTTCCAGTGTTTCCCACAGAAAAACCGTAACATCTTCTTTCAGTTGTAACATCTGATACCTGCATTTATAATGGCGGATTATTAAAAGTATCATATTCATTGCTGATAATTTTACTTGTGGCCAAACAAATGTTTTCTTATTACGTTATAAACGCACATCTTTACATTTTCTATGATATATGCTAACGTGAGTCTAATTAGAGAAAACTAAAAATTAACTCAGTTAAGAATTCCTAAACACTGAAGTATTCTTTAATGTGAAATTGGAATTATCTTTCTAACTAAAGCATTTACATCTATGTGCACTTAAAATTCACCCTAGCCTATTCCTTTATGTAATATTCATGTCTCAGTGTGTTATACCGGTTTACCTATGATTCGTAAACTGCTTACATGAAATTATTTATAATTATTTCTCGCTGAAACTTTAGCAATTTATCATGGACTAAGAAAACTACGCTATCGGCAATAAGATTCCAGTGAAGTTCGGAGGAGAAACATTACAGTATTTCAAAGAATCTAAAAGAGTTGATATAGAGAGAGTACGTTCTTTTCTGAATGCAATAAAATGTATTTCAGTATAAAGTAATATTTGCGCTTTACTCAGTTCAGATGGGTCGATTCATTTAAAGACAAGAAAAAAATCGTCCTAGTATTTAATTTTCAATGAAATTATTACGTGAAACATCCCAAAGGTAAACGATATGAATGATACTGAATGTGTTGTCATTAGCACAAGGTGAATTGTACAAATATCTCTTTTAAAATTTAAAATTCCCTAAAAGAGTCAAATTTTCACTCACCAAGTTAACGTTCCTCCAGTAGAATAGTTTTCACAATCCTATATACTTCAAACTATGCTGAAGTAAATATGGCACATTCTGTCCAATTGCTGTGGAACACAAAGCGACAAGTGTTATGTTCCTTAACAAAGAATGCCAGGATAGTTTTTGGAATTTATTTTTCCCAGCTATTTCATATCTAAGACTACTGAATGAGAATATCATAAAATTCTATGATGAAACTGTTAAGAAATGTCAGGAGAATTGCAAGATATCGAACCACAAAATAGTTGTCCCACGTGTATATTACATCTTATTGGACAAACTTGACGACTAATGTCCCGTTACAAAACGGACAAGGGCCAGTGAACGCAGTGCTAGAGCATTCTACAGAGTGAGCCGGCATCGACGTGCAGCGGTCTAAAGAGAAGAGGGGTTGCTTTCCTTTGCAGTGCGGTGTGTCGCCAAATGAATTGAAATTTTGTCGCCAAACATTGCGATGCTCTCTGTGTTGAAGATCTGCGCATCTCTAACATTTGTATGCATATTTTTGAACTAAATTTATTTAAATTCATAAATAAACAAATTAAATTCTATATTGGTAAGTCACGAATGCAGAATATTGTTATAGAAAGAATAAAAGACATATATGCTCTAAGATTTTAACGCACATAAGCGAGCTAATTCTTTCAAATAACAGGAAAGGGAAAAAATAGCACAATCTTCGTAATTCCAGAACAGCTTTTCAAGAGAATGACTATTATAAAGAAGAGAAAAATACGGAATAAATTGTTAATCTTCTTTTGTTCAAGCGTAATAGTTTTAGTAGTATATTCTTTATTGTATGGCAATTTATCTTTTTATTTCAATTTTAGCTAATAACTAGGTACCGCACATTCAGAGTAAATTTATACAGCCTGTAAGTCGGTATATATATATATATATATGTAAAGAGGAGCTTATATTTTATACACATATATAAAAATAAAGTCTACTCTCTAAACCGTTTTATATAAATTTACTATTTAAATAGGCTTTTTAAAATTATTTTTCACTGAATGTTAACATGTTCAAACTTTTCAGGAGATGCAAAATGCTCAAATTAAGAATCTGAAGTAATTTCTCTTCATATATAAACAGATAAGAGAGCAGCTACCAACCACAAGATTTCCGGCGAAAAACAATTGCAATGTTTGGTAGAATCCAAAAGAGCTTTTACAGAGAGAGGTCCATTCTTTTTTGAATGCAATAAAACATGTTTCAGTTTAAACTAATAGCTGTGGTTTACTTAGTTCAGGTGTGCCATTTCATTTTAAGACAAGAATTAAATTTGTCTTAGCTTTCACTATGTATAATAATCCACTATCTGTAATAATACTGTGATAGTTGTCCCAATAAAGTATATATCCAAGTCTATAAATTTTGAGCTGTAATAAATTGCAATTTCTTTTAGTTCACATTCCTTTGCTTTAACATTTAATATTAGGATTTAATTGGTAGGACAGTCTCAAAAATATAAATGTTTGTCATACTAATTTTTGGTCGTTAATACAGAGTGATATAAAACATGTATGCACATTTTAAATTGTGTTACATTATATGTGCATGAACTAACGCTTATTAATATATGTTTTTTTATAATTGGGAAAGAATCACGTCGATGTAAAAATTAAGATCAGGCAAAAGTGTAATTTCCGTTTAGCGTAGATTTTGAAAAAAACTCTGTCGATTCCAAGTGCGTTCTGATAAGAACTACTTTTCTTCCGTGAGGGAAAAGAATTAAATTCGTTTAAAATTTTTAATTTTTAAAAAAATTAAATTAAATTTGAAGAGTTTTAAATTTAGTATAATTTATTTTCAAAATTTTAAAATAATGTAAACATAAATACTGTTTTCTCTAATGCATGTTTTTGAGGTAACCTCATCGTTCCTCTTTTGTTGTTATATTTGTTGACAACTGTGCATCCTCTGCACTTCTACATGGTATCATTTCAAAACAGCACTGTTAGATCTGAATTACTTTCACTAAGAGCATTGGTTATTCTTAGAAATCTAAATATTTTACTAATTATTTATTTATTTTAATAACTCTTTCATCCAATGGTAACACTTCAAAATGCGATGGACGTGAGGTTTTTGGAATTCCTATATTACGCAACTGATAAGTTTCCACCAACTGTCTTGCCTTTTAGTATCATATTGATATACACGGCTTCACAGAGGGATAATAGGTTGAGCAGATTTATTTAGAATTCACTGTCTTTGCACAACAATATTTTTAAATTTCAGTAGGAATTTAAGGCAAATTTTCTTTGCTCAAAGGTTAGTAAAATTATTTCAAATCCGTTAAATTTAAAAGGAGCGAACAAAAATTAAATTATCTATAAAATTTTCTCAAATATGCTACATATTTGAGGACATTGCATTATCTCAATGTAATCCAATATGTGATATCACATCATGCAGATGTAACTTCAACTATTTAAAATTAAATCGGAAATAATTATGAGATATCTATGACAAAAATATGCTTCAGTACGTGTTAAAAAGTCCCAAATATGAGTGTCCAAAATATCCAAAAAGATGAGTAGTCCAAAATGTATCCAAAAATATGAGTAGTATTTTAATAAAATAATATTTGAGTTATTTTCAAAAGAAAACTTAAAATGTAATGAAACAAGCGAAAACTTAATAACAATAGTTTGTAAGTAATATATATGATACGGTGAAACACCGAGATCTGGAGAATGTCGACTTTCACCGGTGAATGTCAACATTCACATAGTCTCTTGGTGTATGTCCTGTGATAAGGTTACATAAAAGAAGAAGAGACTGAAGATTTATATGGACAAGGATGTCTCGTGAGCATAAGCTGAAAATTATTATTTTTTAAACTTACAAATACGTTTTTAATAGTTATTAAAATAGTCTTTATTAAAATAATTAAATCGTTGGCAATGTTAAAAACGCAAGCTCGAGAGCCACGAATTGCTCTCGCACGTAAAATGTATAGAATTTGATTTTTGAAATAGATAGGTTTTTCTCTGCAGAATTGTATGTAGCCATTTTTTTTAGCATTCAATAAATTTTATTATGCTGTGTTTTGTTTTCAACCTGATGTCACAACCCAGGGTTAGCATAGCGGTTTCGGCCACTACACCACAGTCCGAAATATTTTCAAAATACTCTTATTTCTGACTTACATCGGTCAATGTCGACATTCACATGTACTAATGGTGAATGTTGAACAAATAACAATATTAATTTTTCTTCTCCGTAATTCAGTCGCGAATAAACGCATTTGAGATTTGAAATAAGATGTTAAGAACATAAGAACCTAAAACATACAATACATTCAAAATGAGAAAGGAAAATGATAGAAGTTAAAAACTTACTTAATTATACAGTACGTTCTAAATGAGAAAATAAAATAACAGTAATAAGAACTTACTAAATTATGTGATTCAAATCTTATTTATTGCAACAACTTAAACTATTATGGCACTTTTTGACCTCTCCTTTCGACTTTCACCAGAGCATATCTGTGATTGTCGACATACGCCGGTGAGGGTCCGAATATACAAGAATGTACTGAAATATTCGGTCTTTCACCTACGTATTTGGTGAATGTTGATATTCTCCGGCGAAAGTCGACATTCTCCAATTTCGGTCTTTCACGTTAACATATATAAAAAAACACTGCTTTATTCATTTGTCTTATATTCTGTATTTTTTTTTGTATCCAGTTGCTTGTGGATGGTCTTTCAAAAATAATTTTAATTATTTCATGTATACATATGCACTACAACTTTAGTTATCCGAATTGCTGATTATCCGGATCCCTTTCAGAATTTAAGAACAAATTTAAGACGGGAACGTAGTGTTGAAAAGTCAGTTATTTCCGACATTAAAAGGAGCCAACCTACGCTTTTAAACTTCGCGTTACTGCTTGAAAACGAAGATGGAAGTTCTACAAGAAAATCAATGAAGTCAGCAACAAACAAAAATTTAGATGTCCTTTTGAAGTTGTTTTTGCAGCAACGTTCTATGGAAAACCCAATTTTGGGTCCGATTCTTGGTGAAAAAGCTTAGTTCAGAAGCTTAGTTGTTCATCCTTTAAAGCAAATAACGGCTGGATAAGAAATTTTTCAGTGCAGGCACAGTACTCGTCAAACAGCTTACTTTGACCAAGATGTTCAGCGAGCAAGAACTTTCACTGTACAGCGTGCTATATAACATGTACGTAACAGTGTTGCCTTTTTATTTAAATTGATTAAAACGTCTTTTTCTTTGAAAATATTTTTTCCTCCCATTTTCAACATTTAGTGATTTACTATTTCATACACTGATGTCTAATTTTGAAATTAACTTCCTTTTATTACTAATTTTACATTTGAAAACATCTTTCAAAAGTATTATTCCTCAGTTAAATGCATGCATATTTTAGTACCAAGCGCTTTCTAAACAAATCCCTAGTTTCTAGCACTGAATTGCATTACAAAGTACTCGACTTTCCGGAAAATCTCTTACATTTTTAGTTAGAAAATACATTAATAACTTCATCTGTATTCGATAATAATTATTGATTGCGTACCATGATTTAATTATAACACAAAATGGTAATTATTTACCAGATATATCATAAATAGTATCATATCTTTAAGATACGTATATCATATATCAAAACTTAGATTAAAAGTATAGTATAATTAATAAAGACCAAATACGTCAAGTATCAAATACATACGATAAATAATAACATATTAATATGAAGTATGCATGATATAAATATTTTATGTATGTCAAATATATACCTTTATATTGATTTAGATATTAAGCGTCATATTTATATTCTCAACCACAGATGAAATTTAATTTAATTTACAAAATACGTTTTAATGTGAATCGAAAGCTTTATAGCAGATATTATTTTATTTATTTATTATTTTTAAGTTTAAGATAAAAGTATTAAATATAAAAGTTACATATTTCTGAGCATAAAGATAATTTTAAAAACTAGCTGTATTTAATGTGTTAGAGAGTGGTTTCCATAGTCTTAGCCCTGGTTTGAATCTCTAGACGTTCTTTAGACGTTATGTGTAGTATTTTGCGTCATGGTAACTTTTAAAATAATAGCGCCAAATGTCCTTTCGTAACGCTGGTGAAAGAAAAAGAGGAAAGGAAAACCCTCGGATCCGAATTTCATGAAATTCTTCTCCAAAACTGGTATAGATCTCGGAAAATTCATATTGGTAATTACAAATTATTATAAGCTTGACGAAATGAAAGGGCGCTAGCGCTCTTGCAACAGTAAAATTTACTAGCTGATGTTACTTTCAAACAAACAAAATAACAATCAACAACAGCATATTTCATATTTGTTAGTCCAGTCAGTTTTCCCTGAA